TCAAAAGTTGAGTAGTGTATACAATGAGAAGTAAGTATCGTCTTGTTGTGGCCTTGCTCCATGCGCACCAATACCAATGACCACTTGTACAAAGCTTGTGTCTAACATGACTAAACTAAGACCTGGAGTCTTCCAACTCTACGCCCAATTTGAGGAAATACGGAATGTCAGGGACACTTGGAGTAAGAAATTACTAAATTGAAAGATACAAAATCATCAAAATACAGAATATTTTCTGCTAAAATGGATCCAGATTTAATTAGAGTTATATATATTTACATCAAACAGCAACATTAGTTTGAAGAAATTATTGGCTTTAATTTATGACAGCCTCTTTCTATCTTTCTTACTGGAGTTATTCTCAATTCTAATTTCCTCTACAAAACCAACTCATACATATCAAACAAAACAAGTTGTTCGTGAGTAGTTGGGGGGAATTTTTTATGAAACTGTATTCTCAGTCTTCACTACAAAGAAATTTCCCCCAAACTATCACTAACTTTATATGCTCAGAATAAATACTTAAACTAGTTAGTAGTAACTGTTGTCATCAAACCAGGTTGAGTTATCTAAGCTGAGAGTATAATACAACAGGTGACAGGAAAGTCCACAGTAATAGACACTGGACAGATTTGAGAATCAACAGCCTGTCAAGAACACTTTATTCTGAAAACTGTCCTGTCTGAGTGTTGACCTTGCTAAATCAGCTGAACAGAATCAACAAGGAGGTTAACTAGCGTGTAAATGTACAGGTAAGGCTGTAAGAAGGTTCTGCCACAGCTGACGGAGGCACTGGGAAATCTGGTTCCAGGCAATGAATTGGGCATGACAATATTATCACAAATATCACAATTAGGGCATCACTTTTTTTCATGTGTTTCAAGTATCCACCAAATTCTGAATATGGGTCGGTTGGGCAGGAAATTTTTTTTTAATAAAGATAAAATTATCTGAATAAGGTTCTTGATTCTCATTTAGAGTAATTCTTATTACAAGTTCTTGCGTTCTTTGGACTTGTGGCAGCCACTGATTATAAGATAAACATTTTATATGACAAGGCGGTACGGTTTAGGTTCAAGTCAGTGGCGTTGGAATGAAAAAAAAACGTTGGGGGTCGGCAATAAATATTAGAAGGGTCGGTCGGGCGATGAGAAACACAAAAAATAAAAATGCTGTCCTTATTATAAGGCAATGTGGACATGATTGAGTCTGGACCTGACAAACCACTGGGCGATGGGAAAACAAAGTATGTCCAGTAGGCATGACTGGGAGAGCAAGATGATTTTCTACATGGAATAAAGCTGAGATTTTGTTACCGAAAATACTGTATTCCAGTACTACAGCATACTGACTGAGAAAAGCCAGCAAACATGCAGGTTGTAAACAGCTTTCATCAACCACAATTAACTTCCACATAAAATCTCACTCAAACCAGCAAGGTAATCAGCCAATTCACAGAGCATGTCCACCCTGTCCAAATGGTTGCCCATTATGGCCAGCATAGATAGCTGTAGATCACTTAGCACTTTTGTGCTAAAGAGGTAATACCGGGAATTCCCATATTTAAGCCCCATTGTTCTAGTGATGAAATATTTTAACCATATTTAAGCCCAGGGCTTAAATTCGAAAATGTGCAATATATTGATAAAATAAAAAGAATCGTTTTTTTCAAAAACTCTTTTATCAGGAAACTGGTCTATAAATTCAAAATTGAATGACCACATGGTTCAATTTAACTGCAACTGCATGCACATCATAGGGGTTAAGATGATCAATTTCTGTCTCTAATAACTGCCCTGTAACCGGTGTCCAAAATGTTCTGTAAACGTGAGAACCTAGCAGAGACACTACTAATGTTAACAATGTCGAGGTTCACCATGCACTTGGAAAGGGGTGTCACTCTCAACACCAAAGAATTAATCCAAATTTAAGCCCAATTTAATTTTGTGTGGGCCTAAATACGGGAATTCCCGGTAGGTAGGAGATATGGAGGTCATTGCATCACTTCCCAAACAAAGCTAACATGGCAGACATGCCAATGGTATTGAACATTCTAGAAAAGAGATGGACACACTGGATAATCAAGGCTGGGCATCAACTGCTATGTCCATGTGTAAACTGCTATGACCCTCCTTGGTATGATCCTGACAATTTTATACTACCAGGATGGCTTGCATTTCATCGACAAAACACACTGTCAAAGAAAAGACTTTAGATAATTAATAATGTGTCAGACTGTTGGGACGAAAAACAAATGTCAGCTTCAAATGCTTTAAGATTTAAAAAAAGCAATAATTCAATCTTATTGTTGTAATGCAAAAGAATTTGGTTAAGCAGAGTAGATGAAAAAATATACAGCCTCCATACAACTTGACACAAAATCCCAAGCCTCCAATCCATGTCTTTGGAGTCAAGCATCTTCTGAATCTGTGAAGTCTTCACATAATGTATAACAGGTAAAGCATGTCCTCCCACAATCACAAAATATACTTTCCAAATCTCATGAAATAGTACAAGAATGGTCAGTTCAATCTTCAAGGCAGGCAAATCATTTGTTGACAAAATGCAGTAATTTCCATTAAACATGAAACATACATTTTCAAAAGTTTTCTTTTGCTAATGATCAAGGCTACACAGCAAGAACTCACATGGATATGATCATAGGAGGGACAGAAATATAGATAATACAAAGAAAGATGTGAAGTGAGTGAGTGGGTGAGAATGGTTTTACGCTGCTTTTAGCAATAATCCAGCAACATCACATCAGGGAACACAATAAATGGTCTTCACACATTGTACCCAAGTGGGGAATCGAACCTGGGCCTTTAACATGACGAGCAAACCCTTTGACCACAAGGCTACCTGACCACCCAGAAGATGAGCAGAATGATAGAGTAAGTAAATACTGCTGAGTGATACATGGGCAAAAGCAAATCAAAATCAAAATCAGAATGGGAGCCTTTGAGCCATATTTAAACACTTCCTGGGCTGGCATCCTACTTGTCCATATACTCAGTGACAAAACAGCTGTACACATTCATATCACAAAACACTTGTTAAACATCAGGCTCTGCACATTGTCTACCATCTACCAACCTAGGGGAACCAAAATCATGCTGAAAAATTATTCCCAAACTCTATTCAAGGGAAGTTTCATATTCAAGGGAAGTTTCAAAGTCATATTGATGTCAAGACCCCATTGGTCACAAACACAGATAATTTCATGAACCAGTCGTGTGACAGAACGTTTCAACAACAATGATCATTCCTTCCCAATTAAAATCTTCCGATCCAAAAAGCACAAGCAGATAAAACTATAAGTGGTAAAACTCTAACCATGGACTTTCAATTCATTTCCTAAAAGATTCATCAACCTAGTTCCAACTGGAGATTCCTATTAAAAAGGTTGCAGAGAGTTGACACTTATGTTTATGGCCTCTCAACCAATGAAAAGAAAATCTTCTGAACATGGCTAAACACACTTTCCTATACATAGTTCCATTCAGTCATCCTAGTGCCTCTGCCACAGGGCAATTTGTCACTTCTTACTTAGTCAATTCAACAAGCTGAAAAAACTGCAATGTTTCCTTTCGAGACAAATTTTTGCTAAAGATAAAGATAAAGAAAATATCCTACACACAAAAAAATATTTCCATTTGTGCATTTATGTTTTGTTGACGATGACTGTATTGCTCTACATTCTGTCATTGAAGACATACAGACAGCTTGCAATACAGTTATTTTGATGTACAAGATAAAGAGTCTACATGGTTGTGTCAAAGTTACTGAGGCCTACATAATTACTTTGATGATAACAAGGTGTACATCGCACAAACTGATTGCATTACACCAATCTTTACTGATTCCAGGAAAAAGCGTAATTGCATACAAATAAGAGAAAATGTGGTGATGTAATATGCAAATTTGCCTGTGGCAATGGTGTAAAGCTAAGTCATCACCAGGGTTTTACGTGAGGCGCAAATGGGAAAACAATTCACTGCATCCAGACTGACTGAGTTTGGTTTTACGCCGCTTTTAGCAATATTCCAGCAACATCAAGGGTGAAAACCAGAAATGGGCTTCACACAATGTACCCATGTGGGGATTCGAACCCGGGTCTTTGGCGCACTGTGTCCAGAGAGCTGCAAAATAATATTCTGTGTACCCACAACACATCTATGACTATGCTAAGTCTTTGGTTGTTTCTTTCAGAGCAGTTTCAAGCATAATTTCATCCACCAGTCCATCAATGATTCACTCAATGTTCTAGAGAGTTATCGACATGTACAGTTCTCTACACTGCTTACTACACAGGACCCTCACATTGCCTGCTAGGACCCTAAAACTAATAATTGGGGTCTCCCGGACCCCATGTTTGTGAGTTGAGGGAAAACCCTGCATCACTGTGTCGCAGTGAGGGCAACACAAAGATTTCAAAACCCTTTCAAGCTTACATTACTGTACTAATTACTCAGATGACACACACTTGCAAACGTAACCACTATTTTAAGCATATGTCTAGTAAAATCAGCTATTGTCTATCCTTATGTAGGTTGGTTTGTTGTTTAATGCCGCACTCAGCAATATTCTAGCTAGATGGCAGCAGTTTGTAAATAATCGAGTCTGGACCAGACAAGCTAGTGATCAACATAAAGAGCATGCATCTGCGCAATTGGGATACGATGACATGTGTCAACCCAGTCAGCAAGCCTGACCAACCAATCCTGTTAGTCACCTCTTATGACAAGCATGGGTTGTTGAAGATCAATTCTAACCCGGATCTTCACGGATTCTATCCTTAAGTTTAAATTCTACCTAAACTGATGTTGAAAGACAAGTCAGGTGTAGCAGACCCAAAACATTTTGGCGCAGAATGTTTGCATTAAATATATTATTATTATTTTATGAACAACCACAAGAGCACCTTGGAGTGGTTACAAGGTAAGCAGGAACAAAATATGTCCACAATTACGTGAAATAAACAAACAACACACCATCAATCCAGGTGTTTTGTTTAATGTCTCTGGAGACAAGAAAGGCTCATCACAGACTGATATGAAATCATCGGACTCCATAATGTGCCTGGTTTGACAGCACAACAATCATAGCAGGGGCACGAGGAACCAACAATGGGATTCAAACCCACGACAGCAGGAAAGAACATTAACCACTGGACTACCCGACACCTCTTAATAAGAGACAAATCTCAAATTGGTTTTACAGCAGAAGTACACAGGCATTTGTGTGTCCCCAATAGTTTTAGAGAATGTTTGGCAATTGAGTAAACGATTTGAGTAAACAATTTGAGTAAACAATGTGTGTAAACAGATCATCATTCCACCACTTGTACACACATTTCAGTTAAAAATAAACTATTTATTCTTTGATCAGGAACTAGCTGTAACATCAAGAATTTGATCAACGATCGAACAGCAACATACTTGAGTCGACATTAGCAGTCTGGTTACAAATTTGGTATAAAAAACGTAAAAACTGTGAGGTTGCATTGCTTTGCCGCCCAGTACAAAATCAAGGAGAAAAGACAGGGTATTGTGTTTGTCATGGGCAATGATTCACATGTATATGTTTGAGACAATATATTCGAACAGGGTTATTGACGGATAGCCGTCGGTATCACCACGTTTCTCCATCTCCTCGCTTATCATATTGCAGTAACCTTTGACCTCTGACATCAGTCGCCCAACCGTCCAGCCCAGTGACTGGATGACGGCCACGATCTCATCAAACTGTGGGCAGAGACAAAAAGGAAAACATTAAATCGACACAAACCTTTTTTCATAAAACAAGAAAATCATTCAAACAGTGTTTCCGTTATCTGGTATATACGGGACTTAGTAAGGTACAAAGTTAGAATGTCCGGTAATTTCAAAGGCTGTCGGTCATAGTGTCCGGCAAATTTGAAAATCAATTTTCTAATTACCTCTGTCAATTTTATTTCTCCTCGAAAAAGATTATGTTTTCACATTGACATCGAGGTGTTGTCAAATAAAAAATAGCAGTTTCTGAAAAACCCAGGCTAAAAATTGTGGCATTGACGCATTGTGGTACCCTCTACATTTGTCATTGGTTGTTAGAGTGGAAGATCTCGCGCACAATGAAAAGAGAGATGACTTGACCGATAACATTTACAAATGACCTGTATTTGAAATGCAAGCCTTGCCACAATGTCCAGCTGTAAAAAAGCCAGCGGAAACACTCATTAGAAATGGTCAGTGCACAAAGAAATAGAGGTTGAGTGTGTTCCTTTCTAAATATCACACAGCAAAATGGATAATACGTATTTTCCAGACTTGTTTGTCTACACAAACAACACCACTAGCTGGGCTTAAGGAACTTATTTAACTAGCACCAGGTGTGTGTGGACATGAAAAACAGATTACACCCTGTGCCCATAAATATACCCGAAAACAGGCACCGATTCATACCACAATTGAGGTGAGGTGAGGTGAAATTGGGTTTAACGTCGTGCTTGAGAATATTTCACTCATATGACGACGTGCATGCGTGTGTATGTGTATGTGCGGCTGCTTGCACTAGCCCAGACTGAAGCTGGTTTTATAGTGCTAGCCCACTGAGATACCATGCCGCAGTGAAGCATGAATACCCCACTCAGACACATTATACTGACTCCGAGCCGACCAGTCCTTGTTGTACCTATTAATGCCGAAGCGCCAGGCAGGGACCAACAAGTACCATATTTTAACGTCATTTGGTATGACGCGGCCGAGGATCGAACCTGTGACCTTCCGCTCTCCCGGCGGACGCTCTAACCACTACACCACAGAGGTGGCCGATACCACAATTGAGATGATCAAGGATGCCTCCTGTTGAGATTTGCATGTGAGTATGTTGTTTACACTGGAGTTTTACGAGTCAGGAAACTGCCTCAATTGTTTATATATTGATTTAACAAACAAAACAATAACAAATATACTTTCTAAAGTTGTTTTGATGTTTCATTTTTCCTGAATATCTATCAGTCTCCCAAGCCTATCAATAATCACTGATGCAAGCGAGATTGATCGACTCAATTCACGTCAACTGGGTTCAAATACACGTGATCAACCGAGCCTGACCACCTGGTCGCCTCTTGTAACCACATGCTTTATGTGACCAGAGTTACAGATAACTTTTGGGGTCCTTTGAGTAACCAAATAAATTGTACCCACCTCACTCAAACTTAATTGGGTATTTTGCCATTTTCCTTTCATTTTACTGTAAAAATGTAAGAAAGTTTAAATGTTGAGTTACGTGTTTGTTATTTATATTTGATCTGTAATATGAGAAACGAAAAGAAAGACTGCAAGTTGCCAAGTTCATGTGCTGAAATAGAACCTCTCAATATACCTCAGTTACTTTCTCTTTCCTCAGTAACATCTAAACTAACATTTGACATTTTTGTGTGTACGCATGCAAGATCAAATTTATTGAGCATTTACAAAAATTCAAGCGTACTTGAGTTTTCACATAAATGTTTGCGTAATTTACGCAGATACACAGCTTATCTGTAACTGTATGACTGATCAATACTGTTAACACAATCAATTGAAAGATAAAACATTATTCTGGCTGCTATTTTAATTGACGAATTTTTGTCTCACCTGTATCAAGCGCCCATCGTTAAAGGTGTAGTAGTGCAGTCCAGGAGCCTTGACAAGGCTAGCTGCCATCCACTGGAGGAGGGACTTGAGTTGCGGGTCGCCACCAAATGCCCCACAACCCCAGTTGCCAGTAGAGATTGGCAGTCCTCGGGATTTGAGCCGACTCTGTAACCGGTGAGCTTACATTAATTCCAGTTTTGTTTGAATGTCACAGGTTGATGCATTGTTACTAAAGGACATTTGTTTTTTAGATGGTTTACTAATTTCCATCCCTCGAGGATAGTTCAGTTCAGTTCAGTTCAGTTGGACTGACTGACTGACTGACTGAGTTTGGTTTTACGCCGCTTTTAGCAATATTCCAGCAACATCACGGTGGGGGGGACACCAGAAATGGGCTTCACACATTGTACCCATGTGGGGATTCGAACCTGGGTCTTTGGCGTGACCAGCCAACGCTTTGACCACTAGGCTACCCCACCGCCCCCAGTTCAGTTGGAGATATTATTTGTTGAAAAATTCTGACATGAAAAGAATATGTTGCTAGAGTTACTTCCCTTACTGTCCTCACTGCATTGTCAAGTAAATCATTGCAGACGCAAGTAAATATTGCTTAACGTGTCATCAGCAGTTTTGCAGATATTCCTGGTAACTTGCAGAAGCAATTCCTTTTGCCAAGTAGTAAAGTCTGGTGGCTAAAAAGTAATCTTGTTACCAATGATTACTTCAAACTTTTTCCAAGTCAGCAGTGACCATGGTGATAAATGTCTTTTCAAAATATAATGATTAAGAGTTAGATTCTTTTCTTTTCCTCATTATATTTGACCGAATTAGCTAATCAACTCTGTATCATGTTGCAGTGATGGCAGGCCTTGCTGACCCTTTTCAAGTACATAATCAAGTTTGGCTTGGGATAAAATTCATATTGTGACAGAAAGACTTGGTGTTTTGATTTCCGAGTAGTGTTGGTGTGTCTTTCATAACTGTGAAGCGGAACCAAATATTGATGGCATCTCTGTACAAAAATGACAAATATCTTGAAGAGTTTTTGCTTAACAATCAGTTAATATTATAAAATAACCATGAGAACCTTGACTGAGTCACCTTACCTTGCATTTGGCATGCTTCTGCAGCACGTCCATGGCTTCCTTCATGAGCTGTCCAGATAGAGTGTCAGCAAAGTGCTCCACATGCGTAAACGGGACATCCAGGGCGTCAGTGAAGTCAGGATTATCAGCCGAACTGTCCCCCATAGCCTTCGAGGAGTTGGAGATGACACTGGAGGCCTCGTCAAAAGACATCCCTTGTAAACTTTCCAGTGCTGAACGTATCACAGCTGTAGCCAGCTCCTCTGCATAAGAGTGAACACGTTGTGACCCGGCCAGCTCCTCCCGTTCCATGTCGATACAGGCATCTCTGTAGATGATGTTCACAGCCTGGTTGAGGATGTCATTAGCAAACATGTCCGCGAAGTCTTCAATCTCATCAACGCTGTGATAATACCCTGACCGGTAAAGCTCTTCTTGACACTCAGTCCCAACCTTCTTCGGAAGTGGAAACCAATATTCCGTTTCTGAACTTTCTGAATGAGTCAGTTTGTCACGACCCTTACGGGACCCCTTGGACCTAATACTATGGCGAGGGCTGGACGGCTGGCAGAAGCTGCTATTGAGGAGCTCATTTTCCAGATTAGCCAGAGTCGTGTCCCTGAAACCACTCAAGCTGCTCCGTCGAGACCCTGTTGTGCTGGTGCTGGTCTGAGCGCCCATGAACAACAACGGCGGCACGGTGGTGTCAGCCTTCATCAGCTCCTCTGCAAACTTTGACAAGATGGGATCTTTGAACCCACAGGAACTCCTTCTGCGAGATGTTGGAAAGCTGCTCCAGGAACCCCTCCGTGATGACTCTCCTCTCACCCTTTCCAGATCATCATCCGTCCGAGAGATCTTCCTCCTCTTGTCCTCGTCCCTGGAAACTAGTTGATTGGAATTGTAAGCTTGAAGGGAAAGTTCAACACTTATATGACAGGGCTCACTGCTGCGACGTTCATAGCTCTTGATGTGTCTTCGGTCCTCAACGTTCAGGAATGCATTAGTTAACATCTCGCGACTCAGTTTCTTCGTAAGAACCCCGACATTCGGCAGACCAGCACGAGACATTTTCTCTGATTCCTCGGGTTTGACTACTTTCATGGAATCCTTCCCATCACTCACACTTGACAAAGTATCACTCAATCCTTTGAAAGACCCTCTGGTGCTAAGACTACGAATGCTTGTGTTCCTCCCATTGATGCTGTGGTTGCCTGTACTTGTAGCTGCTAGAGATTCGAGGTGGGTGGGAAGGGTTTGGAACACATGGTCAACAATTATTGCAGCAGCTGCATGATAATCAACCTTGATCTCAAAGTCATTTGGAATAATCTTGTCTAGTTTACTTGGAATGCCGGAGTCTGTTTCCTCCCCGTGGTCCGGTTTCTGGGTGGAGGACCGAGTATCACAGGACAATGACTGAATGTTTTGTACCTCTATCACAGAACCAGATATACAACCTTCAGAGGGACTGATTTCCAGATTGCAACCTTCAGATGACCTCCTTCCAGAAACACAATCATCAGGAGGATCTTCTTCATGTAGACCTTCAGAGCACCTCTTATCATTAGAACAGCCTTCAGAGAGCCTCCTGTCGGATGTACACCCGTCAGAGGACTTCCTATCAGAATATGAGTCTTCAGGGGTCCTCCTATCAAAGGTACAACCCTCAGAGGTTCTCCTGTCAGAAGAGGAGTCTTCAGAGGTCCTTCTGCCTGACAATGACAAGGAGCAGCTGGAGGAGAAAGAGGCTGAGGAATTGTTGTGGGATGAGCTTGAGGAGGAGGCATCAGCAGATTGAGTAGCAATGGCGGCAGTGGGCGGGTCGTCGAGCAGGAGAGTTGGGCAGCTCCTCCCCAGCCAGTTCCTGAGACACATGGAGGAAGACCTGCTGTACGATCTGGTCAGCATACCACTCGTACATACGGTCAGTTGGAAGATCTTGATGGGAAGGTACTGGGCTAGGTAGGGGAGATAAGGCAAGTTGGACCACATCCTGGAAGGCGTCAGGGAGAGTTGCATCCAGTAGGGATTGGGCATAGTGTTGTAGGTGTGGTAGAGGTTCTGTTGTGTCATCTTCACTGTCTGACACTGATGCAGGCACGTCATCTGCTTCAGTGTCTATAGATGGATCAGGGTGTAGAGCACATGGCTTCACAGCATTATCAGGAGGAGAAAGATGGCTGAACATCTGCATCCCTGAAACAGGAGGTTTGAGTGAGTGAGTGACCTTGTGATTGTGAAGTATGTGAAGTGTGAAGTGAGTGTGAAGTGAGTGTGAAGTGAGTGAGTGTGGTGTGTGAAGTGAGTTTGTGAGTGTGAAGTGAAAGTGTGAGTGAGTAAGCTAGCTTTAACCACAAGGTTACCCCATCACCCCATCGCCCCAAAGGGAAAAGAAGAAGGATAGAACATACCTGGCATCATCTGAGCTGCCGTGGATGTGCCTTCCTGCATCAAACAGGCCACCAACTTGGTAGCAAAATCTGATATCCCAGGCTGGGCTGTCTCCTCTTCAATAGTGCCATGACGTTTCTTTTCATTCTTCAGGTATGACTCATAAATTTCTTCTAAATCTGAACTCAAGTCGGAACTATGTTTTGTACTCGAACTACTTCTCCGGGATACGTCACTCAAGTTGGAGCTCCGCCTCCGGAAATTGGACAGCCAGTCAGCATAGTCTACATCCAACAGATCGCTGCTTCCATTAGGAGGCTGGGATGGGATAGTTCGGGAAAACTGGTTATGGTTTCTATCACAGGACCTGCCAGGATCATTGACACCCTCTGATTGGTTCACTTCAGGAATGCTTATATCTGATTGGCTGACACTGCCACTACTGGATTTTGATTGGTCAGAGTCTTTGGTTTCTTCTCTGGACTTGTGTTTGTCCACCGATTCTTTCACAGCCTGGTGCATAGCTTGTGATAGTAATGTCACCACAAAATTAGACAAGAGCCTTTTTCCTCCATCTGAAAGCAGACAAGACATAACTGACAGCTTGTTGATTTTATACATTAGATCCTAAAAGTAGTTGAATTTCCAGTAAACATGGTAAACTGTGTTACATTTTTTAAATGAAACAATATGTTAACCGAGTAAATTGTATGTAAAGAATTTATAGTGAAACCTAAAAACAACAATAAATGTCCTAAATTAACAAATGTATTACGATATTGATGTTTACAAATCAATACATATTTCTGCAGAGTAAGTATGATGGCAGTATACAACAGAACCATAATATACAACAGAACCACGGTACACTGGAGAGCCACAATACACTATGGAGCAGCAGTACACCAGAGAGCAGCAGTACACTGGAGAGCAGTAGTACACTGGAGAGCCACTATACACTGGAGAGCCACTATACACTGGAGAGCAGTAGTACACTGGAGAGCAGCAGTACACTGGAGAGCAGTAGTACACTGGAGAGCCACTATACACTGGAGAGCCACTATACACTGGAGAGCCACTATACACTGGAGAGCAGCAGTACACTATCGAGCAGCAGTACACTATAGAGCAGTAGTACACTGGAGAGCAGTAGTACACTGGAGAGCAGTAGTACACTGGAGAGCCACTATACACTGGAGAGCCACTATACACTGGAGAGCAGCAGTACACTGGAGAGCCACAATACACTATAGAGCAGCAGTACACTGGAGAGCCACAATACACTATAGAGCAGTAGTACACTGGAGAGCCACAATACACTATAGAGCAGCAGTACACTGGAGAGCCACAATACACTATAGAGCAGTAGTACACTGGAGAGCCACTATACAGTGGAGAGCAACAGTGCACTGGAGAGCAGCAGTACACTATACAGCAGCAGTACACTGGAGAGCCACAGTACACTGGAGAGCAGCAGTACACTATAGAGTCACAGTACACTGGAGAGCCACAGTACACTATAGTGAGTGAGTGAGTTTGGTTTTACGCCGCTTTTAGCAATATTCCAGCAACATCACGGCGGGGGACACCAGAAATGGGCTTCACACAATATACCCATGTGGGGATTCGAACCTGGGTCCTCGGCGTGACGAGCCAACGCTTTAACCACTAGGCTACCCCACTGTCCCAGTACACTATAGAGCTACAGTACACTGTACAGCAGCAGTACAAATACAATTGTAATACAATAACAATGGCAGTATGAGTGAGTTAGTCAGTCAGTTGGGTTTTATGCCGCTTTTAGCAACATTCCTGGAATATCACTGTGGGGGACACCAGAAGTGTGCTTCACACATTATACCTATTTGGGGAATCAACCCGGGTCTTCAGCATGACGAGCGAACACCTTAACCACTAGTCTACCCCACCACCCCAATGGCCGTACGAATAAGATAGCAGCAGTAATAGCAATATTCACATGCAGCTAAGTGGTCAAGTTTCTAAAATCGGTTTAGGCCAGATATCCAGACTGATAGTATGACCTTCACCCAACAGCTAGTCTTTATGGAATGCAGGTTAATAAAGGCATGCAGTTTCCCCCTTGTATAGTCTTAAAATATTCCAGAAATTTCAATACTATCCTGGATCAATCTCTGCTTTTCTAGAATATTCCACACCACCCTTGACCCCTGAAGCTTCAAAATATAGCAGGGTGGTGGGGTAGCCTTGTGGTTAAAGCGTTCGCTCATCACGCTGACTGACTGACTGACTGAGTTTGGTTTTACGCCGCTTTTAGCAATATTCCAGCAACATCACGGCGGGGGACACCAGAGATGGGCTTCACACATTGTACCCATGTGGGGATTCGAACCCGGGTCTTCGGCTAACAAGCCAACGCTTTAACCACTAGGCTAACCCACCGCCCCTCCATCACGCTGAAGACCTGTGTTCGATTACCCATTTCTGGTGTCCTCGCAGTGATATTGCTGGAATATAAAAGCGGGTAAAACCATACTCACTCACTCTAAATATAGCATCCAGCAAACCACTGCCCCTACTGAATAATTACAGTGCAAGATCAATACAATTACAACATTGTTTAACAAAACATTGCCACATCACAACTGTCAGACTCAGTATTTCACGGGGGCTGTGATCCACAGTTAGAGACTCATTTTCAATCCAAATTTGTAAATGTGTTTGTGCTCATCTCAATTTATTCTTTGTAAATCATGTTTGTCTGTCTATCTGTCTTTTCTCTTGTCTCTCTGTCTGTCTCTCATTTAAAACTGTTTGAAAATATTCCAATGAACGAAGCCTGTAAAAACATCAAGTCAGTACCAGACAATACGGTGATTGTTATCATGAAAATCCCCCTTCCCCAACCCAAACAAAATGGGTGAACGACATCCCCCCCCTCAAATAAAAAAAAAAAAAAAAATCACCATCGGCCCCACTAGCCATAAATTATGAACGGTCCCTAATGGTCAATTTTAATTCAGAATCCCCACGGTTCCAAATATGTGCAATACTTTTATTTCCCCCCGAAATTTAATGCCGCATAGTGATGCCCGAATTTCTCCTACCTTCTTCTGTGGGGCTCTGGACCGCGGTGTGATATTCCTCATCTGTTGATGTGTTCAGGCCGTGTGATGACGACATGCTGAGTCGAGACGACGTGTCCAGGTCAGCAACATCACAGAAGCCGACAAGAGCCTTGTTCAATTCCCTCAAGACACAGGTCTCCTTGTACTGACGGAACTTGTTGTGCTTGAAGGGAGTCGCATCTATTGCACATAGCGTCCTTTTCATGTTGCCCCACTCGTCTACCTGCGAAAGGGGGAAAGTATTATCAGGACAACTGCCTTGAGCATTGGACATCTTCAGCCAATAATATAGTTGGCTGTTTCGCTGCTTTGAACGACATTTCAGGTATAACACAGAGAGAGGCACCTTTATGTCTGACAGAAGAGCAAAGTCTGCTTGAGGCAGGTCTTACAAGTTTACCAAAAGATTGAGTGAGTGAGTTTAGTTTTCGCAAATTTTAGCAATATTCCAGCTATATCATGGCAGGGGACACCAGAAACGGGCTTCACACATTATACCCATGTGGACAATCGAACCTGGCCCTTTGGCGTGACAAGCAAATGCTTTAAACACTAGGCTCTTCCACCGCCCCGTCTACCACAAGAGTACAACCGCCTCCATGGTGTAGTGGTTAGAGTGTCCGCCCGGAGAGCGGAAGGTCGCGGGTTCGATCCCCGACCGTGTCAAACCAAAAAACGTTAAAATATGGTACTTGTTGGTCCCTACCTGGCGCTCGGCATTAATGGGTACAACAAGCACTGGTCGGCTCGGAGTCAGTATATTGTGTCTGAGTGGGGTATTCATGCTTCACTGCGGCAGGTATCTCAGTGGGCTAGCACTATAAAACCAGCTTCAGTCTTGGCTAGTACAAGCAGCCGAACATACACATACACATGCATGCATGTCGTCATGTGAGAGAAATATTCTCAAGCACGACGTAAAACCCAATTTCACCTCACCTCACCTCACCTCACCTCACCACAAGAGTACAAGCTAATGTACCTGGACAAAAAATCAGGGCTAACCAGATTTTAAGCCCCTATCAGAGTCTTCTGGTAGAGACTCTGTTTAACAAACCCCTGCAAGTCTGATGACAGATTGATAAGAAATCACAACAACGAAGTCTTACTGTGGAAATTCCCTGTCAACTAAAGGGAGGTAACTTGTCTGAAATTGCTAAACCTTGCTTCCTATGAAAGGCACAATATTCACAACAATATGAGTGTTATTTGTGGACAACTCACCTCTGTATCATCCCTGTAATCACTGACATATTCAAGTCCTGAGGCGTAGCCGCTGTGTTGGGAGAACTGCTCAAAGCCGCTGATCAAGATGGCCTCGTTGTCCAGCATGTTTTCCATGAACAGCATGGATGCTATCAGCTCCGGACACGTACAGAACCGGATCTCCTCCTACATGACAAAACATGACGTGACATGACGTGACGTGACGTGAAATGGAGTGAAGTGACATGACGTGACACAATACTAAAGAGAATATAATATACTGTATACAGGGTTCCAGATAACTTTTGAGGGTGCAAGTGTACTTACACATCATATTGCAAGTGGAGGTGTACTGAGAATTTTGAAGGAGTACTGACATGTTTTTGTGTGAGCGAGTTGGTGATGTGGTTTGTCTGGACGATTCATCGATCACTATTTCCAACCATGAATTTGTATTTGAAGACGCGTGAGAAATAACTGAGCGACCGTGTGATGCGCGAAATGTCAGGTCTATATAAATAGGAACAGTGTAGTTTTTAGCCAATCGAAAAATAGTGATGCATATCGTTGCATGGCAACGCAAGTGATTCCTACTGTCAGGGTTTCCTCATGTGTCAAATCGTGTTTCGCAAAAGAAACTTGACAAGTATTTATCCGAAATAGATTTCCATTTGCACGATATGCACGGAAACTAAATGTTAGACGTACAAAGGTATTTATGTGCGTATACGATACGCTTGAAATCTTATATTATGTCGTACTTAATTGATTTTGAGGCGTACATTACACCCATATGCCCCTAATCTGTAGCCCTGCTGTATATCACCACTCTAACTCGGTAATCACATCCTAAAAGAAAAGATGTACCAACAACAAACAACACAATACTGATATTTACTACCCACAGAGTCTGTCCATTAAAACTGTAAATGCACAAGTGCAATCATCACTCAAAACACGAGGGCTGAGTATTGGCAAATAAATTTATTGGAATATATTGCAAGTATGGTACCAGTATTCCGATACGCATTGCGATATATATTGGGAGTGAGTGAGTGAGTTTAGTTTTAAGCCGCACTCAGCACTATTCCAGCTAGGCGGCGGTCTGTAAATAATTGAGTCTGGACCAGACAATCCAATGATCAACAGCATGAACATTGATCTGCGCAATTGGGAACCAATGACACGTGTCAACCAAGTCAGCAAGCCTGACCACCCGATCCCGTTAGTTGCCTCTTATGACAAGCATAGACGCCTTTTGTGGCAAGCATGGGTTGCTGAAGACCTATTCTACCCTGGATCTTCACGGGTCCGATATATTGGGAGGTTCAATGTTTGACAGTGAGTGACTCTCATTGTACATGCATAGCTTATTTTCAACATACAAAATTTAGATTTGACTTTGAGGGGTTGTATGTTTCTTTTTTATAAAATTTATTGTAAGTAAAGTATGCAGTTTTGTCAATTACAATGGACAGAGTGAATGAAAGTATGTGTACATTTTAATTTGAACCATAGAGATAATCACAAAACTTCTATATTTTTATTACCCAATATACTGGTTCTGATGAAAAACATTGCAATACATATCGTTTGAAAGGTGTTTGTGATATACCCAGAGGCCCAGATAAGCTGCGTATCTGGGTAAAATATGCATAGAATTACGCATTAAAAAATAATTGTTGCGTACCAATTACGCATTTAAAATGTTAGATACCCAAAAAGTTTAAAACAAATGCGAACGGAATATATTTATAAAAAACGCTTGCATAATGAAAAAGGCATCGATTGCTATCAAGTTGTACTGTTAGCATAGGACTAGTGTTGTACTGTCAGTATAGGATGAGTGATTTTTATGAAATAATTTCCATTATATTTAAGTTGGTTTTGATTAGGTATGACATAAGGCAGAACATACCTGCTTAGTAAACTTACTCAATGGCGTAATACTTAGGTGAAGGAAATATATTTTTATATGTTTAATATTTCACTGAATCTTAAAAGGTCACATGCAACCAAAAAATCAAACATAATTAAAACACAATTATCACTTCTTCATGACATATTATATGCATTGCTGATTATGAAAAACAAATAAACAAAATTATGGGTACATTATACCAAACATGAGCTAAATGGGTTTATCCCTGGAGCTCGGGATACCGAACCCAGTGTACGGTGGGTGTGCATTCAGTGCTACCAGTTCACAACAATGCTCATTGTGTATTATTATAGAGCTGTTGGGTCATTTACTTGCATCTTGTGTAAATGACAGTGTATCCCTTCATGAATTCAATTCAAGTATCAATGCCCATGTCTGTGTAATCAACAGAGAGAATCGGGCCATAAATCATGATTTCTTTTAAATAGGATTGGTGTTTGGTTCAAATTGCATGTGTCAATTATGCGAGTTGTGTAAAATATGAAAAATGGAATATATCCAGAACACAGGTGGGATATAAAACACTGGTCACATTCAATTTGAAAGTGTGTGTCACATGTTATATATACCTCTGTCAGACATTGACAAAACAGATCAAAGAATACAGGGATCGAGACTGAGAAAGTGACTCGGTAAGAAGAGCGTGCCTTAGGGCACCACACAAACATTTTAGATTATATAAACAGTTTATTTACATGTTTTTAGAATAAATGACTGTAGCTGTGATGATGATCAACAAAACATTATGATTGTTAGAAAACAACAAATGTAACCTGTTTTCTGTTTTCACTGATATGTTTTCACCAGACAGATGGCTTTCTTAAGCTTCAGTTCGCGAACCCATTTCACTCATAGCAAACGAATTTTATGACAGGTTCACTTGTTCAGCCCAGCTAGCTTGAACAATTTTGTGTTCATTCCCCAGAAAAGTCTGGGAAAAATTAGTGAAATTTCTTTGAACTCCGATTCTGGGCTGGGGTTTTCATCGCGTTATTTTTCAACTTTATAAGTTGAATTTGCATTTGCACAGCTTTGTTTTGGTAAGTCCATACGAAGGTATCAGAATCTGCAAAGTTGTGTTTTAGGTTGCATGTGACCTTTAATACAAAAATACATCGAACCCTGGACCTATTTTTATATATGTTTAAATTTCCTGAATATTCGTATCTGTTAACCAATATTTGTGATTTGTATCTTATCTCATTGTAGTTTTCTTCCTGACCTATTGTTTACACATTCATTTTCAACGTTTTTTGTATATTATTGTGAGGTAAGGCAAGAAATGACATCTCCCATATAAAATGATGTCAGAGCTGAAGTGAGTAAAAGATTGAGTTGGGTCTTGGCAATATTGCAGCAATATCACGGAGGGGACACCAAAGAATGGGCTTCAAGCCTTAGGGATACAATGTGGATGCAATTGGGATACATGACATGTGTCAACCAAGTCAACCATCCTGACCACCCGATCCCGTTAGTCGCCTTTTACGACAAGCATTGGTTGCTGGTGACCAATTCTAACCTGCATCTTCAAGGGTAAATAAAGCATACCTGTACACGACCTCGGCCAAGCACTCCACCTCCTATCGACCTGTTAGCAAAATCAACCTGGAAGAAAACATACACATTTGTATGGCATATACTTCCCATCTATTTTGTCAGATAAAAACTCAATTATAGCTCCAGATTTAAGGAATTATGTTTGTCATCCTACATGAACTTCCAGGCTTGTCCCTTACTGAAACTGTTTTGTATCCAGTTAACTGTTTTCAGATCAAATTATTCAAAATATCTACAGGACTAAATAGATAAGTGAGTATGGTTTTACACCATTTTTAGCAGTATTCAGCATTATCACAGTGGGACACAAGAAATGGGCTTCACACACTGTACTCATGTGGGGAATCAAACCCGGGCCTTCAGCTTGACAAGCGAACGCTTCAATCACTTGGCTACTCCACCGCCCCTCTACAGGACTAAATTCGACCGTTCAAACCGTACAATTCCCGCCACCATGGTTCCTGTTTTGCATACATGTATATATTGATGTAATCACTAAAGATGTTAGGACTGCATGTAAGCTGATACCTCAATCGCTTCACTACCAAGATCTTCAATGAAGCCGTCAGTGTGAATGAACATAGAGCAGAGCTCAGCATCTGATGACATCACGTCTTCCATCGTCAGCAGCATCTCAGTGTCTATCACCTGCACAAAACAACATTACATATTGCAGACTCACAAACAAGTTACATCATACAGCAGTTTTGAAATTAACCATGAATGTAAGAAGGTCCACCTCATAACCTTATTGGACCGCCTCCGTGGTGTAGTGGTTAGAGCGTCCGCCTGAGATTTGAAGGTCGCGGGTTCGATCCCCGACCGCGTCATACCAAAAGACATTAAAATATGGTACTTGTTGGTACCTGCCTGGCACTCGGCATTAATGGGTACAACAAGGACTGGTCGGCTCGGAGTCAGTATGTGTCTGAGTGGGGTATTCATGCTTCACTGCGGCATGGTATCTCAGTGGACTAGCACTATAAAACCAGATTAAGTCTGGGCTAGTACAAGCAGCCGCACATACACATACACACGCATGCACGTCGTCATATGAGCGAAATATTCTCAAGCACGACGTAAAACCCAATTTCACCTCACCTCACCTCATAACCTTATTTGTTTGTTTGTTTGCTCTCAGCAATATTCCGGCTATATGACAGCCAGGGCTCTAAATAACTATTGGGGTTGTGAGTGTACTTACACATCATATTGCAAGTGGAGGTGTACTGAGGATTTTGAAGGAGTACTGACATGTTTTTGTGTGAGCGAGTTGGTGATGTGGTTTGTCTGGACGATTCATCGATCACTATTTCCAACCATGTATTTGTATTTGAAGAGGCGTGAGAAATAACTGAGCGACCGTGTGATGCGCGAAATGTCAGGTCAGACTGGATATAAATAGGAACAGTGTAGTTTTTAGCCAATCGAAAAATAGTGATGCATATCGTTGCATGGCAACGCAAGTGATTCCTACTGTCGGGGTTTCCTCATGTGTCAAATCGTGTTTCGCAAAAGAAACTTGACAAGTATTTATCCAAAATAGATTTTCATTTGCACGGAAATTAAATGTTAGACGTACATAGGTATTTATGTGCGTACACAATACGCTTGAAATCTTATATTATGTCGTACTTAATTGATTTTGAGGCGTATACATTATGCCTGTATGCCCCTTATCTGTAGCCCTGAACAGCGATCTGTAAATAATCGAGACTGGACCAGACAATACAGGGAATCACATCATGAGCATCTACCTAAGCAACTGGGATATGATGATATGCGTCAACCAAGTCAGAGACTCTGACCACCCGATCCTGTTAGTCGACTCTTACAACAAGCATGAGCTGCTGACTCGTAACCCTGTTGTTAAAAGTTACTGACAAATGGTAGCTATGTTCCAGTGTCTGGTGCACTTTCCCAGTCAAGATAAAGTGAGGCGAAATCAGGTTTAGTGCAGAGTTCTAGGTTTCAGTATCTGCACCAGATGCAGTTCCACTTAGACTTCCCTTCCACACCTCAACGACTCTATTTCATCCATGTATGTGTGTGTGAGTGTCTAAGTATCAGTGTGTGTATGTCTCTGTGTTTGTGTCTCTGTCTGTGAGAGAGAGAGGGAGAGAGAGAAAGAGAGAGAGTGTGTGTGTGTATGTGGGGGGGGGAGGTTGTCTTTTTGTTCCTGTAAATGTGTGTTTTTGTGCCTTTCTTTCTTTGTCAGTAATGTCACTCTCCATGATTGTCTATTATTATTTTATTATTATTATCATTATAGGATGTTTATATAGCGCACATATCCATGCAACCATTGCTTGCTCAAGGCGCTAGTATTTGTTCCCCGCGATCATTAGATGTCAATCTCAACGTCACATAGTGTTATCAATCTCAACTCCCTGAGGAGTATGCAACTCTTGCTGCCACTAGGCGCACCGAGTTTATTGTGGCTCTCTCATCCTAACGAGGTACCCAATTCACAGCTGGGTGGACTGGGACTAGATGTGTGCTTGATTCTGAGCTGACCAGTTCCTGTCAAAATGTCAAGAGCCAGACAGGGTACGGCCACTTAACATTTCTGTGTATGAAGGCAGCCAGGATTGAACCATCAACCGCCTGCTCTCGGGGCAAGACTCAGTCCATTAAACCATGCAGGTGACCTCCCAGCTAGGATACTAAACATGTACTCAGTGTCTGAGTCAGAAACACAGGGCAGACTGTCAAATCGTTATTATCATCAAGCCAAAGAATGGTGGACAACGGGGGAATGGTAAACATCCGGTCCGGTTGCCCTGGCAGTTGGTTTTACGCAATGAAGTCCCAGCGGAGACCCAGGAAAGCCTTGCCATGCTTCTTCCGCTCGAACCGCACCCGATTGACATCAAGCGCATGCAGTTCAGATATACGAGCAGCGGTAGCCAACGGCGCAGAGCAGAACGTCAGTGGCGTAAGACACGCCTGGAAATTCACAGGCAGATATATCAACAGTGCCGAAATGCTACCACCTCTTTAATCATCTCCGCTAAAAGGAAATATTGTCTTCACAGTATACAGAATAGTATGGGGAAACCTGCTTCCCTTTACAGGTTTATGAATAAACTGCTTGGTAAAGGAGGTGATAGTGATAGAGTACCTCCCGGACAAAGTCACATGGAACTCGCAGACTCCTTCAACTCATTTTTCATTTCAAAGATTGATACCATTCGACAAGGACTTTCAGCCAAGGAAGTTGATAGGTGTTTCAGTGAACCTCTCTTCACAGGCGATCCACTAACACAGTTTGTGCCCTTCACCCCCAAGGACATTGAATCAATTATCCGCTTCTTCAAAGCCTACCACTCTACATGACTCCGACCCCATACCAACTAAACTTCTGTTTCAATATCTTGACTTGTTGCTGCCAAGCATTACTAAAATTGTCAACTCAAGTTTGGAAAGTAGTGTATTTCCATCCAGATTCAAACATGCTGTAGTCAAACCTCTGCTAAAGAAACCTGATCTTGACTCTCAGAATCTTCAGAACTTTCGACCTGTCTCAAATTTATCCTTCATTTCCAAGATAATTGAGAAGGCCCATGCATGTCGAACTCAAAGACCATCTCTAAACATCTTCTGCTTGATGAATTCCAGTCAGCGATCGGCAATACTATAGTACGGAGACTGCCTTACTGCAAGTGACGAATGAGCTTCGTTGTGCTGTTGACGATGGTAGGATTGCTGCTCTAGTGTTGTTGGACCTCTCTGCAGCCTTCGACACAATCGATCACCATAGACTCTTGTCCTGGCTCACACAACAGTACCGACTTGAAGGTCATGCCCTTCAATGGGTGACGTCTTATCTGTCTGACCGACAGCAATCTGTTGTTGTTGGCACTGAGAGATCAAAAGGCACTGTAATCACATGTGGGGTGCCACAGGGATCAGTCCTCGGTCCAGTCCTGTTTGTGTTGTATACCGGATATGTCGGAAGGATAACTACAGACCACACAGTTTCTCATCATGCCTACGCTGATGACACCCAGCTCCTGAAAGCATTTCATCTGTCAGATCTATCTCACGTCTCTTCAGTGCATCGCTGAATGTGCATGAGGACATCAAGTGCTGGATGACAGGAAACATGCTTAAACTTAATGACACAAAACAGAAGCAGTTCTCATTGGTACAAAGCAACAACTCAGCAAGGTCAAAACCGACACCCTTACAGTCGCCAGACTCTGACGCCAGATTCTCTGATGTGGTTAAGGACTTGGGTGTCCACATCGACTCTTCCTTGACTCTGGATGCTCATGTTAACCCGTCTGAGCAGGACCTGCTACTTTCACCTAAGATCCATTGGTAACATTCGGCAATACCTGACAACTGCTGCAACTCAAGCCCTTGTTCGAGCTCTTGTTACATCTAGGCTTGATTACTGTAACAGCATCCTTTCGGCCTCAGTTCTAAACTCCTTGATAAGCTTCAGAAGATCCAAAATACTTCGCCCAGCATCATCAGCAAGACTTCTAAACGTTCATATAACACCAGTGTTGAAAGAACTGCATTGGCTACCAGTTAGGGCCAGAATTGACTTTAAGATCCTCTGTCTGACGTGCACAAGTGCCTTCATGGTTTGCTCCCTCTCCCTACTTGTCTGAACTCCTACATCCGTATGTCCCCGCACGCAACTTGCGCTCAAACACACAAAACCGACTGGTCATCCCATCCTACAAACTGAAATCCTTCGGACACCGATCATTCTCTTACTCCGCGCCTGTGCTCTGGAACTCTCTCCCATGTGCCCTTAAAAGCTCTGCCACAATTGACATTTTTAAGTCCCGACTTAAAACCCACCTTTTCTCAGTATATTATGTATAACTTCATCTGTAAATACTCCAGTGTAAATATTCTGTAGCGCTTTGAGCATGCCTTAGGGTGTGGAAGGGGCGCATTATAAATATGCATTTATTATTATTATTATAGCCAAAGCTACCAGGAAGAATGTCTTGAATGTCACTTGTTCAAAGTTCTTGTCTTCTAAAGGTTCATAATCTGTAGAAATCATATGACGAAGGACGACGGACAGATCCCAGGCCGGAGGTCTGAACTTCCTGGACTGGTCCGAGAGTCTATAGGAGCATAGTAGACTCTGCAACTCGGGCACAGTGGAAATCTTCGAGTTAATGGCGGCTAAGTAGGTAGCTAACGTAGTACCCTTGAGTTTCTTAGTAGTGCGGAGATGCTGGAGAAACTCAGCAACGACCTGAGCCGAGGTGGAAGTGGGAGATGCAATTCCCCTAACCTTGCAATAGTCTTCAAACTTCTTCCACTTGTTGTCGTATTTGGAACGGGTCGAAGTACGATGCGCTGAAGTGATAGCTGTGGCTACTCGGCGAGAGTAGCCCTTAGCTATGAGAGGCCTCTGAAGATGCGCTAAACGTGTAGATTGAGGGTCTGATATCTGGGAGCAGAGAATCCGTCCTTAATTCGTTTCAGGCTCTTGAAACCATCATTTAGTGTACTGGTTAATTTCAGAATACAAGGTCGAGGTGGTAGGGTGATGGTAGACCAATCCCAGTTCCTAAGAGTATAAGAGTGATCCAGGTCATCTGCTGAAGTACTCAAGGGAAGTTGGAGCTTCTCAACAATCCAAAGGAGTACCTGAGGTGTCTCAACTGCTGCAAAGCTACCCCCAGGGGTAGATAACTCAGAGTGAGTGGGAGATGCAGGCATGGCTATTTGGACTGGATCAATCTCAGGAGGTGGACCAGTTGGCTGGATGAAGAGCCAGGGGCTACCCAAGCCGGATGGGCTGGAGTAGAAGGCTGTATTTGGTTCCAGGCTGAGGTTATGGCCCTGATCATCATATTTAGATCCAGCCGCTGTAGAAGTGGGATTGTTATCAGGTTCCCATGACTCAGCGATGATCCTAGAGTGAGTTGAAGGATTCTCAGAGCGTGTAGACGGAACATCATAAGAGACTGTAGGCCTATTGGTGGTATCAGAGCAATGATCACCCCAACGTCGGTCAGAGGAACTGTATCGAGATCTCGACGTGGTAAGTACCAAAGTAGGTTGGTAAGCCGGTGATCTAGATTTCCTTAGTATGGCTAGGTGATCCAGTATGATATGAAGAACTAGTCCGGGTCACTGTAGTTCTAGTTGGTGATCCGGTTCTGATTGGAGCTCTGGTTCGACCATCTGAATAGGATCGGCCATGAGATGTGGATCTGTACTGTGATCCCGATTGGTCAATGGCTCTGTAAGGTGATCTAGATCGTATAGGTGACCTGGATTGGTAAGATGATCTGGATTTGTAAAGTGATCTAGATCGATTCGATGCACTAACTGGAACTGTGATCGTGATCTGGATCTATAAGGTGATCTGGATCGAACAGGTGATCTTGTTTGCAGTTGCGATCTGGCTTGATTTGGTGATCTGGATCGGTTAGGTGATCTACTTCGATGTTGTGATCTGGATTGGTTCGGTGATCTGGATCGGTCTGGCGATCTACTTCGATGTTATGATCTGGATCGGTTGAGTGACCTAGATCGGTCCGGTGATCTGATCCGAGGTTGTGATCTGGATCCATTCGGTTATCTGGATCTGTCCAGTGATCTGATTCGAAGTTGTGATCTGGATCCAATCGGTGATCTGGATCAATTAGGTGATCTGGATCGGTCCGATGATCTACTTCGATGTTGTGATCTGGATCGGCTAGGTGATCTGGATTGATCAGGTGATGTGGATCGTAGTTGTGCTCTGGATCATGACTGTGAGCTGGATCGATCCATTGATCTTGATCGGCACAGTGATCTAGATCGTTGTGGTGATCTAGAATGATGTGGCGATCTGGATCGGCGATTAGGTGACGAAACCTGAAGTGTTGATTCATGATGAACATCCCCCCGGTGACGCTGTTGTAGCCAGCTCCGTCCGGTTCAATGAACTGTGGGGAGACAGTTGGCTGGTTGAACGTGGTTGGCCAGGCTCCAAACAAACTGAGACAGTCGAGGGGATATGTACCGATGATCTGGATGATAGTGTCGATCTAAGGTCCCCTGGTAGTGTAGATGGGACAGGCAATGATGAATTATCGATCACAACCACCCGCGAGTGATCTGACGCTATGGAAGGAGGTGATTGATGGGTACGTAATAGGTGCCGAACGTCCTCAGATAAGTAAGAATCTGATGAAGCGTAAAAAAATCCTCTTGAACCACAGACATCGCTCTCTTGCGTGAAGGTACGATTTTCTGTCACTGTAACTTGATACGCTTGGCGGGAGTGGGATCAGATTCTGTTGATTTCCTGTCCTTATTGGCGATTCTCTGGGAGCAAACACAATCCTCATCTTTTAGTGAATTACACTTGCCACATTGTTTGTTCCAGTTACATTGTCCAATACAGTCACTGCAAGACGAGTGAGGGTCGAGGGACGAATAATTTGTCTTGCATTGAGCACAAACTTTCCTTTCCTTGACTGATTATTAGTTTTCTCCATGATGTTAGTGTGAAATAATGTCCTTTATATACAGCACGTCCACACAGTCCTGTGACAAGAAAGAGAATGATCATTCAAGGTAGTCACGTGGGCAATTAGTGGAGCATGCTGCAAGCTTTATTAGGAACTAAGAAGCTAATTAAGGAGAGCAGCATGGAGTGCACAGGTGAATGGACAAGGAGGCCTATGGGAAAAAGTTTACAGTCGTTCCACTAAAAGTCGAAGCAAGAGAGAGAGGTGCAAGTCGTGAGATAGGATAAGTTTAAAAATTTAAATTTTTAAACTTTTTACCCCCAAAAATAAGACTTACCATCATATTTCAAGGGAGGACTTTTTAATACTCATCAGTTATAATTTAAACATGTTGAAAACACTCAAATCATTTCTGTACCAATAATTTGGAGGTTTTGTCAGATTTTTACTGGACTATTAACCAGCAGATCATCACCAGCTAAGGGAGGCAACTCTACACACCTGCAACAGATGAAATGGGTGCAAATAGGCCTCTTATTAGCCCACGTCGCCCTAAAACTATAAAACCAACCAACCAACAGATGAAAGGTTCAAAGTAAGAACAATAACAGTAAAACTAACTATACCTGTCTGGCATAGGTAATATTTCCTGACAAGGCCACACCTGGCTCTGTCACTCTTTCAAAGTAGTTCAAGATGCACCGCATCTTAGCATTCTGTGATGACCTGAAATAATTCAAAATCATATCTTACATGCCTTCAAAACTTACCAAACTAAATGGGAGACACAACCATTACTATATTTGACATTCTTATTGCCATATTCAGCGCATGGGCGCTTAAGAAAATAAAAAAGGGCGCTTATTAGTATACCCCTGGAAAGGGCACTAATTAGGAAGATATTCATAACAACACAAAGGAGTCAACAGTATATGTGGTTAAAGGATCAGACACACATTTTGTGTGACTAAAAGCGTTGCTAAACAAAAGTATTCACTGCATAGGATAGGGGTTGGGGGGGCATGGAAATGATATTTTCTAAGGGTGCCATGGGGCACCGGACAGTTAACTTAGGGGTTCGTTTATGAAAATAAGTGTGCTCAATCCTTTTGTGGATTCAATTAAACTTCAAACATCACAACAATTATGTCATTTCACTTTATTTTTAAATAAATCAGTAAACATAATGTAAACCTGTAAACTTGAGAGCTAGATTTCCTGAAAACTGTCATAACCTATAAACTAACCCACAAACTGTGTTATCATCCAAAACAGGATTTCCTATCATGCATATTGGCATTTAAAATGCTCACGCCCATGTTAAGCTGTGAGATTGAGAGTGCCAGCGATAAACAGTTTTGAATAATTTGAATTGGACAAATATATAGCATTTCCATATATCATGGTGTACTGCCAGGGCACATTGAACATATTTCATCCATGCCATTTCAATATTTTCGTAAATTATTTCAATCCCTGCAGCAGTCAGCAGTACACCAGTATTCACCCTGTAACCAAGCAAGTCTGGACCAGTCAAACCAGTGGTTGATAGCATGAGCACCAACACATGTGATCAGGTAAACGTGACCAACCAATCCATGCTATCTGCCTGTCACTACAAGGTTACCAGTTCTACACAGGGCTCCAAGTTCATATTTTGACATTGTTATTAGGTATGTTAAAATTAAAATTTACTAGCCAAACTTGAATGATAGTTGCCTTATAGATTTTCAGTTATTGTTCACATATTGTCAAATTTACTAAGTTCCACTATTAGAGATTACTGTTAATAAATATTTTGTAAATACTCTCTTAGACTCTAGCTGATCGCTAAATCACTTGTCGCTAAAATTGGCAATCATTATCAATAAATTCTTAAATAAATCAAAGTCGGAATTATTTATGATGAAAACTGGAATAAATGCCTTAATCTAATTGAATTTTTACCTGTTTCATATTATTTTGTTGCATCTCTCAAATTTTAATCGCACATGCGACCAATTCACAAGCAACTTGGAGCCATGCTACCTAATGTGGCAAGACACGACTTACATTGGGAGGTGTTTAAAGAAGTTGGTGAAGTTGATGACATTGAGCTTGGTCCATCGACTCCTCTCTCTCTCTGGGAACAGGCACAGGAAGGAGCAGGCCAAGATGGCTGCCACACATCTTTTAGAGAGAACACTACTGCCACCTGAAGCACACAAACACAACACGGTCAATACTTTCAAAAAAAATTTAAGTGTGTTGATTTTATATATAATTTTAATTCTGTAGTTGACGTGACATATATGCTCTTCTAAGAGCTGACTTCCATTGGAACAAAAGACATCATGGCCTGACACAACCCCTGTTCTGGTGCGACATGGAAATGGATTTCTCTACTTATTCCCTACTTGGGTTCCATGCCACTGGATCGATATCTTCAGCTCAGTGAAGAAACACAGAATGCTGTTCAGTAGGGCTGCAACAAATACACTATGTGGCGAATATGATACGTATCATGAATATGGGGTAACGAATACGAATAGTTATTCACGAATACAGTATTGTAGTTAAGTGATTGATGTACAATATGGAACGCCCATGTTGACAGTTTAGATTCGTCACAGCAATAACCAGTGATCTCATGACACTCAAATTTGGTATGTAATAGTTATAGTCGACAGTACCATGTGCGGCCTTGGCAAACTAACATGACATGCGCTACTGCAAGGCTTGTACGTATTCAATCCTTGCATATCTCACTTTCCAAAAGTACACAAGGGTTCAAGTAAAACATGCTCCCTTAAAAAATTGTAAATATTCATTAATATTCGGTTCTGGTGACCACGAATAACAAATTGAATTCATGAAGGGCTACGGTTCAAATAAACCGAATATGCGAGTGAATCATTACAGCCTTACTGTTCAGTATTTTCAAACATCCCACACCATTAAAAGGCACCGTTTTACCACTGAACTGATCTACACAGTATGTTTCTTCTAGAAAAATGGTGAAGTTCAGCTCTCTAAATGAACAACACACTCATTCTCCATACAAGACCAACTTGTCTTTGAAATGTTTACAAATTTAGATCCTAAATCATCAAAGGGCACATTCAACACTTGACTGACAATATATGAATTAGGTTTAAACAAGACGTCGTAAACAATTTAAGAATTTGGGTCTGGACAGACAGACATGTTATTCTTTATAAACTCATGATTTCATAAAACACAGTGGAAAGACCGCTATTAAGGCCAGGTCTAAAGGAAGGGGATTTGAATGAAGAACCAGCCACTCAAAACTTAAACATATCTCACTATATCTTTTGCATTAAACGTAAGTGCCATGTTCATGATAAATAAAGTACACTGCCAAAACCGCCAAGACTTTAATGTGCTAACATTCCATATCAGTTTGTAACAAACATGTTTCTCGCCATGTGCAGTCTTATACCACTAGTTGCAAACTTTATTTAGGACGCAATTTCTTTACTTTTGAACCACTGACATCAAAGATTTTGAGTACCCTTGGCCCACAAATATATATAATATACGAAAATCACTGTTCCACTGATATGAACACAGCTTGGTTCTAAACATGAATTAAATTTGGTTTTACTACATAGGACATAAGTAGGATTAGAAAACGAAACGTTTTTAACAACACAGGTACTGAGGGTGAGAGGGATTTACTTTGATCCCGCACTGAGTTGAGTTGAGTTGAGTTGAGTTGAGTTGAGCTGAGTTGTGTTTTACGTCGCATCAGCATTATTCCAGCCATATAGCGACGAGATCAAGTCTGCATTCACACACATATTAGATCCGACATTGAGCAACATATCAGCAGTATCATTGCAAGTCAGCCCAATGCTACAGAAAAGCATCAAGCAACACTAGCCCACTAATGGCTTGGTCAGCCAAGGAATCACTTGCAATGACTTTATTACATGCTGAATGGACAAAAATGAGTGAGTGAGTTTAGTTGTACGCCGTACTCAGCAATATTCCAGCTATATGATGGTGGTCTGTAAATAATTGAGTCTGGACCAGACAATCCAGTGATCAACAGCATGAGCATCAATCTACAATACAATGACATGTTTCACAGTTTGTATCCTTGATTTTTGGACACTAAACTTGCTGAGGAACATTCATTGTTTTGTTGCTGAACAACTGTAAAATGAGTCACTAACCCATACAAAACAAATGTATCTGAAACACAGTCATCATAGAAGTATTTACAATGTCTATGTAACACTGCCGTCCAAAAACTTATGATATCTGTTATAATCTGATGATAATTATAAGCGTCAAATTTGGAACACTATCACAATTTCCCTATTTCCTGCAAACACACAGTTTGATATCCTAGATAAATCCCTTGCAATATTCACAGGCTTCCCGATGATAAATGTCTTCCCTAGGTCCGGGGTAGCCTAGTGGTAAAAGCGTTTGCTTGTTGAACCAAAGGCCCCGGTTTGATTCTCCACACGGTCACAATTGATGCAGCCCATTTCTGGTGTCCCCCGCCATGATATTACTGGAATATTGCTAAAAGCGGTGTAGAACTCACATCCCTAGGTCAGTAGAGTCTGCCAGTTTGCTATTATTTTTCAGGCAAGTATTGAGATGTGCAAGATCCCAACAATGTTTGTAGATACAACACTAACATCCACACACACAACTACCATGACCAAATAGCGTAACTGACAAACTCACATTTCTGTTGTTCGCTGAATGTGAAATCTGGCGGCACCAAGTTCTCCGACTCCAGGACTAGATCACAGATTCCAGGAATCACTGTATACAGAAACTTGTCATTTTCTTCTTCTGTTGCCTTCCTTATAAATTTCCAAACACCAAACCATAAATAGGACTGGTCAATCTTGCTGCGTTTGTCTCTTTTGGACCTGGTCTTGTTCACCAAGCTGTTTGATGAGTTGGGAAGTCCGCCATCATACAGAACTGTATCATGGTTCGTTACGTATATAAGCTGCACGTGTCGCACAATGTCTTCAGCATCAAAGGCCTCTGATAAACAGTTCTCTTTCAGTTCGTTCAGAAGGACCTTGACCTCCTGCCAGTTTGGGAGGTCAGATGGAAAGATCGGACGGCTGAGATTCATGCTTTTGCTGTTAACAGCCTCTGGAATTAATGATAAAAAAATATTACTCATGATGTTATAGTCTGTTTGACTAGAAAGTGTCCCCATTTGAAATTGAAGCAGGTAACTGGTCTCGTGATGGTCTCCAACAAGCAACTATCGCATCAGCTCTGACTGTGATGCCACTGATGACAAAGTCACAGATGATACAGAATAGATTTTGAGATGCTCCCCTCCGCACCTGGCTATTTCAGTGGCTGCCGTGCACCCCTCCATCCCAACTGTCAACAATCATGTGTATAATGATGACAGTTTGTTAAACAACTTTTTCTGTGATGCATGACAATTCTAACAGCTGAAGAGGTGTTTGGGTATAGGTTATTCAAGAACATCTTGCCACGTAATATTTATTAACTACCTTTCTAAACTGATATATTTAGCAATTCATGGGGACACTTACTAGTCAAACAGACTGTAGTATTTGTTACGATATACCACTGCAGTTATCAATGTTTGTTTCCATTTATGATTGTTAGTGTCAATAACTCTAAAATAAAATAAAAAATTCAATGTTTATTGTAGAAAATTTCATACTTTATTGTGAGAGCTAATGTCACCTATGTCCGTCAATAAATGACATTAGTAACATTTAGGTCTGTCATAAAAGTGACATTAGCAACAATAATCATATGACAATTAAAAAGAGATAAATATCATTAGTTACAGCATAACCATCTCAACATGAACTCTCAGAAGTTGACCGCCTCCGTGGTGTAGTGGTTAGAGCGTCCGCCCGGAGAGCGGAAGGTCATGGGTTCGATCCCCAACCGTGTCATACCAAAAGACGTTAAAATACGGTACTTGTTGGTCCCTCCCTGGCGCTCGGCATTAATGGGTACAACAAGGACTGGTCGGCTTGGAGTCAGTATAATGTGTCTGAGTGGGGTATTCATGCTTCACTGGGGCATGGTATCTCAGTGAGCTAGCACTATAAAACCAGCTTAAGTCTGGGCTACTACAAGCAGCCTCACATACACACACACACGCATGCACATCGTCATATGAGCGAAATATTCTCAAGTGCGATGTAAACCCAATTTCACCTCACCTCACCGCACTCTCAGAAGTCAAGCTGCCAAACACGGTCACCCATCCAAGGATTCTCCGAGGTTGACCTTGCTTAACTTCAACTGATTCGTGACCTGACCTCTCCGCACAGGACCACACACCACCACCAAGCTAAATTAACTTTGCTTTGACAGTTGGTGTATATATATACATATGTCTTTCTTAAATCAAAATTCAATTTGTCGCAATTGGAGACACCTAAAACATATTCAGCGAAAAACATATCAATACGCTCAAGGCCTTTCAAACACAGAGCTGTTACAGTGTAAGCTCAGTGCAAGGACAAACTACGTTAACAAACATCATCCTCCCCTCGTAGTGTGTCAAATTTAACATAAGCCTGGAAGTCAGAGATATGTAAAATTCAAGATGGACTAGTGATGCTTCCATATCATCTAAGCTACTGGTCAATCACAACTCTGAAGCAGATCAGTTCTGCAGACTCTTCAAAATAGTCATTAATTTTTATCATCATTCTGATCATTGTCACACATGCACAAATAATTAACATTATAAATCACTTACAAATAGGGCTGGATAAAAAAGACTGATAATTGGAAATATCATCGATGGGAAGAATTATCAATGATCACGATATGTATCCACAATACCGTACATAAACTATTGTGATGACAGATAGTGTTTACTCCACAACTATGTACTAACACAATACACAGAAGCTACGTCTATATTCATGGGCTACTTCTGAATGTTCATGGCGCTGTCTCGTTAGTATCTATACATGATCCATGTATAAATGAGGCACCACTGATGTGAAATTCTTGGCACTTTGCCTTCTCCGATATCCATAGATAATCAATAATTAGTTATTAAGTTAACGATAATCAATCTCTATGTTCTACATCAACAGCCAGCCCTACTTACAAACACCTCAAAGTTTCTAATGCATAATCATGAAAACTTGAAGTGATATGTGAAGTATTTAAGGTAAGATGTCAGTCCGTGTACCCCTTTAATTTCATTCTAGTCAAATCCTATCACATGAATATATATTCCTCATCTGATAAGGACGACTTTAACATGTTTCTTTAATTGTATCTGAACATACTGAAAGACATATCCAACTTTTATAAGTGCCACTCAAAGAATTTTTCCCTTATTGTTAAAATTTTGGGGGGGATACGGGCGGAAGTCTTACCGTAGTTACGGACATGTTTACAATGAAGGGCATATAAACCACGTATAAAGTAAATAACAAACTATAATACACATTAGAAATGCCAAACCATGTTCTGGGCGTTCCGAAATAGCGGAAAGACCCTGAGGCCTCCGTATCCCTTTGTTTTTCCGGCGGTTGTTCATAATTGAACTTGACCCAATGAACAACTAAATCATTAAGCAGGATCTTGATTGATCTATCTTATCAATGTGTAGACTGTCCGCATGTTGTGCAACACAACTGAAATGTCAACGACTAACGAAAGACTTATTTTGAGAGCTTAGCCTGGCGACTGTAACTCACAAGGTCAAAGTTAACATTCACAGCAAACACAAGTCTGGGAATCCATGGGTCATAAATAGGGCCACCGCTGAAGACCACTTCGTTGTCTCGGATATTGAAAATCAAAATGACGATCTCAATAAGATGGGTGTAAGAATGATTGCGTTCTGTTTTTTGTCAGTCGATAAAAATGTGTCAACAACATGGGGCGTGTGAACAAATCTGCCTATCTAATCATGTTCATATTTGACAAATGTGTTTTGCATTGTTAGAAAGAAATTTCTGTGCCTAACTCGTAACATTGTCGTTTCGATATCTGATCATTACCCTCAATTAATGTTGATCATGTAAAACAGGAACTTTCAGCCTTTTTCGTCCATGTTTGTTGTCATATGCGCACGCACTTGTTCCCCGGAAGGGAGGTAACTCTAATGATACGCCAAACAACAAGCGCAGCGGACGATGTATTCAAAGGTTCAAATGAATGTCCGAAATCAACCAAAATATATGTGTAGCTATCAGGGAATGAATTTAACAATGTCGCCGAGTATCACCGAGTACCGCACATACCAAATGGATGAACATTTCTTCATGTGTCCAGCTGTTGAGAAATTAATCCAATATCTATCTATATGAACCCAGAATAGATTGGTGGAAACTATTAGGCACAAACTGTACTTGCGAAATCGCCACATTTTAATATGTATTGACATTTTTTTGTTTGAATCAAATTTAAAATATATACGGATTTCATCAATTTTGAACAAAAATATGAAGCATACCTGAAGCATATCATATAGGAATTTTATAAAAGTATCACTATTTAGCAGCGGAACTTAATTACTGTCTTTAAACACATTTGTTTTAAGATTTTACTCGTCCCAAAATACACATGCTCGCTGAAGTATACTGAGGGGTAACATAAACTAACGTACAACTGTATGTATTTTACTGATTTCAAACATGCAGAATATGTTTCACCTTTCACTCAAAGATATAATGAAAAATAAAATTTAATTCTTCGTTTTGTTGTTTAACGTTGCACTCCGCAATATCAAATCTGTATGGCGTCGGTCTGTGAATAATCGAGGTTGAATGGGTACCTCGTTACGATGAGAAAGTCACTATATAACGGTGTCCTCCCATTTGTGAGAACTCCCAGTTGTGAGACACGTTAATTAATGATTCAGTGCACATAGGTGGTGTTTCCACATCCCTACAATGAAAGTGGGATCAGCCCAGCCCAGCACCCACAGGAGGCATAGTTCATTGATGAGTTGGCTAATGAAATAGATTATCAAAGATTTTATTTAAATAGTTCATTGAATATTTTATTTATTCAGAAGAAAATGTAATTATGATAACACATTTTTATTGACTATTATGAAATTTGAAAGTCATTTTGGTTTAAACATATTATTATTTATGAAAATGAATTGAGATTGATGAAGTATTCCTGTTTATGTTAACACCGCTCCCATGCAACATAAAATATGAAATGAAATGGAGGATGTGACGTCATCGATATTGACTATTGCATCAATATATTTTTGAGTACATATAAATAAATTATATACAGATTACATCAAATACAACTATTCTCTAAGTAGTCATAATTAAAGACTTACAATTGTGTGTGTCTAACAATCTATTGTAGGAATGTAAATCAATCAAGTAAATTCTTTGTTTTCGTTCAAAAAATTGTCCAGGTTATAACGGGTAGTTGATATCCACAAGAGCAACATGCACTGTCTATTAAATGTTGTTATACTTATCGGCGTTTGGGTCGCTAGATCCGAGCCTGAAGCAGCAATGAACGATTTGAAAAAAACAAGAGACATAATTAAGATCAATATAAATCTTGTTTTCGGTTTTTGTAATTAGGTTCTAAAATTCTTTGATCCTGCATGATTCTTTGGAATTTGGTAGGGCATTCCATAAATTTGTTGTGTCGGGTAGAAAGGGTTTTGCATTAGGGGCATTTCGACTGTAAATTTCAGAGTTATTTCTTAAATTATAGCTTGTACTAGTTTCGGAGACGGAGTAAATCTGAGTAAATTAATTTCTCTTTGATCACGAAGATACCTACACAAAGTGTTTAATTATTAAAGACATTTACCTGAGTATGTTAATCAATTTATCTTATAAAGTTTCATTACGTTACCTCCAAAAGATTCACTTACATAGCAAATCAGTAATTAGCTAGGGTGAATCCATTCTATCAGACAGGGGAGTATGGTGTGTTTTCGTTGTTAATTACCGACTCCACTGTTGCATAACTGGGAGTGTCACAACTGGGAGTTCTCACAAATGGGAGTAGACCCATTATAACTCGGTGCGCCTAGTGGCTGCAAGAGTTGTATACTCCCCAGGGAGTTGAGATTGATAATACGTTGTCCCATTGAGATTGGCATCCATTGATAGAGGGGAAAATACTAGCGCCTTGAGCATGCTATCATGGAATACATATTTATACAAAAATCCATTATTAATTATAACCACTACAAGAGATATATTAGGATTCAGATATTAGGAAAATATAAATATAGAATATTAGTTTCATCATGTATCAGTAATAGCTTAGAGAAAGACTCCAGTCAAAAGTAGTAAAACTCATCTTACAGACATACTATTGAAACAGGTGTAAATTACGTCTGCACAATTTCACAGATGTTCAAATTTAAATCCTAGCCTAAGGTATCACAGACTCAAGCTGTTAGACAAACAGTAAGAAAAAGTTATGACTAGACGATTTAAAGAACTGCTTTAATAAAGTAAACATGTCATTGCCCATATTACAATAACATTAAGCAAACACCAATTTAGGGTCATTAAGACATGGCCCAAAGTAAACACATCTATTGTAATCCAAGCACCTATAATGGACACCTCAACTAAGGCTCGTTAAAGGTCACATGCAACCAAAAAATCAAACATAATTAAAACACAATTATCACTAATTCATGACATATAATATACATTGCTGGTTATGAAAAAACATATAGACATAATTATAAGCGTACAATCGCAAATCAAAAGTGCAATATTGTGTGCTTGGGTTTACTTCCCAAGAAACGAAGCAGCCGGGATACCGAACCCAGTCAGAGCGGGTGGGTGTGCACTCAAGTGTAACGGCTGGTTCGTTTGCAGATGCCCTCACGGCTCATTGTGTGTGTATATATAGAGATGTTGGGTTTTGTAAATACATGCTCATTTTTTTGTGTATAACATTTTGCAGTCAACAGACATCATAACATGTCATGTGTTCAAGTATCACACCTGCCTGTCTGTGTAATTACATAATGTGACAGAGACCGAACTCGGGCCATAAATCAGTGCGTTTTGTTTATGGTGTATAGCCTGATTGGTGTTAAGTTCAAATTGCATGTGGTCAGTGATCCCAGTTGTGTATTGAATATTGTCATTAGCAGACAGGCAGGCAGACACACAGGTGTCAATAAAACAAGACATTGAGTTTTGTCTGTGACAACGACATATCTATATCACAGTTAGAAATTCTGTCAATGCTAAATAATGACATTGCTTTGAAGTATCGAACTGAGAAAGTGACTCGGTAAGAAGAACGTGTGGTGAAATAGACAAATGAAATTATATAAACAGTTTATTTACTGTCATAACATATAAAAAGCTCGCCCCTGTGAGATATCAACAAAACATTAGGAAAATAGCTCACACCAAAGCCTTCACCGAGTATTCACCGGACAGACCTCTTCCAAGTTGCGCGAACCTATTTCACTGCGCACGTGCTATGAGCGCAGCCCAGCTGTTGAAACCAGTTTTCCCCGAAAAGTCGGTATGGTCGCACAATTTTGTGAGACTTATTATCTGGCATACTAAAGTATTGTCTGTTAGCTGTGAGCGGTATTCCAGCTTTATGACGACCGTTTGGGAATGGTCGAGCCTGGACCAGAAAATCCATTGATTCACATCATGAGAATCGATCTGTGCAATTGGCAACCCGATCCCGTTAGTTGCCTCTTACGACAAGTAATGGTTGATGAAGACCAATTCTATCCCGGATCTAGACGGGCTGATATAGTAAGTACATCCAGACTGTACCCTTATTTACCAAGAGTTCATTTTTATGATGAATACATTCACTTGAGAGGAAGACATTTCATGCGCTTTCTCATATATCCCTTGTTTAAATGTTTCTATTTGAAGTTGGCAAAAATAGTACTGACTACTGACAAAGAAAACATTGTATCATTCTCTTCATTTAATGAGTGAGTGAATTCAGTTTTACGGCGCATTTAGCAATATTCCAGCAACATTCCAGGGACACCAGCAATTGTAACACTTTTTCTCGGACATATGTCAAGGTCGTCAATATATGGCCACCTGGGCAGAGTATGTCCATGAGAACTGCCCACCTACGCAGATTATGTCCGTGAGAACTGCAGACCGATGCAGACTGATTATAGTCGCTTATCTGCCTTTAAAATCAGACAGGACAGACAAACAGGGGACAGCCGGCAGACAGCAAAGAGAGCGCGGACAGACGAAAAGAAAGGCAGGGAAAGGACAGGAACGGACGAACTGACAAGTCAACCCATCCCACCTGCTACCCAAATGACAGCCTCACATCGCCGCCTTCCTCTAGTAGCCTCCGCCAGACTCTGTAAGCTGTGTGTAAAGTGACAGCCTCACATCGCCGCCTTCCTCTAGTAGCCTCCGCCGGACTCTGTAAGCTGTGTGTAAAGTGACAGCCTCACATCGCCGCCTTCCTCTAGTAGCCTCCGCCGGACTCTGTAAGCTGTGTGTAAAGTGTTCGTCATGCACCGACAGTTGTACTGCACATGTAAGCGCGTTTATGTGTGTCGCCAGGGGAACTAGCTCATAATTGGACGAACAATGCGTTGATGAAGACGAACGAATAGGTTGAGTTCAGACTTCTTTAGTAGACTATACAGTACATGATAAACAAGTATACATAAATGAGGTGAGCGGAGTTCCAGCTCAATACCAGGGCGTTTCCTACGAGCGGCATTATCCTGCTCGCGGTCGTCCCTATACACAGACAGTCGGAATACCGGACTCCTTGACAATATAGATGTGAGCTTATTCTAGTATACATTTTTTTCTCTCACAACAATGGACATACAGAGAAACAATAGCACTTGACCAGTTGATGTGATGGCAGACACGACCAAGGGGGTGACCAATAAAGGCCGTAAATGTCATGTGAAAGTGACAGTGGTACAGGGTGGCTGACAAGACGGTGAACACTGCGGTAGTGATAAGGATTAAAAATACAGATTAGCGTCATATAAATAATTACAATTAAGTCTCACATGACTTGCAATGGCTACAATTTTTTGGTTTTAGAAATATTTGGACGATGGCTGTCCTGAAGTAGACGCTATGGCAGTACAGTGAGAAATAAAACAC